TCACCTTAAAATTTATTTATAAATTTTTTAAACATTGATGACTGCATTAAAAATGAAAAATTAACTAAAAATCTAGTATAATATTATTAATTTAATAATTTGGGATTTTTTCTTATATGTGAACTTACAGTTATGATTTTATGTAGTCTATTTTTACTAGTATAAAGTTTCTTAGTTCTTGTGATGTTATAGTATACTACTAAGATACTAACTTGCCAGTATTCTACCTACTGAAGACTTTTGAGAACCACTGCCTTATAATACCAGATCTCTGAGAGTTATTAACCAACATCTTTACAAATTAAAAATGCTTTTCTCCCAAGTCTATGAATACATCACTACTTCACTTAGTTCAAAGATACAAGGATACTTATACGATCTAAATTAGTACTTATATGTGAGGTTTTTTAATGAATTTTTTAAAATTGACAAGTAAAAATTGTACATATTTATCATGTACAACATGATGTTTTGAAATATGTATACATTATATTATGGAATGGTTAAATTGAGCTAATTAACACACATTACTTGACATACTTATTTTTTGTGGTAAAAACACTTTACTCTCTCAGTGATTTTCAGGTATACAATACATTGTTATTAACTCTAGTCACCATGTTTGTACGCTAGATCTCTTGAACTTGTTCCTGCTATCTAACTGAAATTTTGTGTCCTTGGACCAACATCACCCAACGTCCCTCTATCCCCCACTCTAGCTCCTGGTAACCACCATTCTACTCTCTGCTTTTATGAATTTGACTTTTTTATATTCCACATATAAGTGAGATCATGTGATATTTGTCCTGGTGCCTGCCTTACTTCACTTAACGTAATGTCCTTTAGGTTAATTTATGTTATCACAAATGACAGGGTTTCCTTCTTTTTAAAGGCTAAATAGTATTCCATTGTCTTGCATACCATGTTTTCTTTATCCATTTATCTGTTGATGGACATTTAGGTTGATTCCATGTCTTGGCTATTGTGAATAATGCTGCAGTGAACATGGGTGTGCAGATGTCTGTCCAACATACTGATTTCATTTCCTTTGAATATGTACTCAGTAGTGGGATTGCTGGATCATGTGGTACTTATATTTTTAATTTTTTGAGGAACCACTATACTATTTTCCCTAGTGATTGTACTAATTTACATTCCCGCCAGCAGTGTGCAGAGTTCCCTTTTCTCGTCCTTACCAACATTTGTTATCTTTTTGATTTTCGTCTTTTTGACAACAGCCACTCTAACAGGTGTGAGTTGATATCTTTTTTTTT